CAGCTCACAGCAACCTCCAAGTCCTGGGCTCAAGCGAGTCTCCTGCCTCTGCCTCCCAAGTAGCTGGGACTATAGGTGCCTACCACAATGCCTGGCTATTTTTTGGTTGCAGCCATCATTGTTGTTTGGGAGGCCCGGGCTGGATTCAAACCCGCCACCTTAGGTGTATGTGGCTGGCGTCTTAGCCACTTGAGCCACAGGCGCCAAGCCAATTAAAGGAATTTTTATCTAATTTTTAGTGATAAAATTTTGCAATTTTAACATACTTTCTGAAAATATTTTTTAAATATATGAACCCATTTCCCTGTCTGGTATTCACAACATAGTTGAACCCTCATTTCATTTGAAGACTATCTTTCAGGATTTCAAACTGTTTGTACTACACATCAGTAATTAGAGAACGTCACAAAATGGCTTTAGTCAGTATTCACTCAGCATACACCCTGGAAGTAGGATTTATGATTAAATATCTTACATACAGTTTATTTTATAACTTGTTTCTTTTATCTGAAACTTTGAATTTTAAATAATTTAAGTAAAATTTACACAATTTTAATCTTCTAGCAAGCAGGAGGCCCCTTCATTTGAGATTTTGCTAAAATTAGAAAGCATATTATATTCCAAGAGTAGCTCTTTGAACTTCTTATTAAAGCTCTACATGCTATGTTTTTAAGCATTTAATTTTAAAATTCCAAGTTAATTTTTCAATTCATTTTGCCGAAAAATATTTTTCATGTTAGAAGATAAAAGCAGAGAAAATGATATTAGAGAAAGAAGAAATAATTAATTCTCTTATGAAGCTTGATCAAAAAGGTTTATGAGATTATCATCTTAGTGTGAGAATACTTCCCTAGATGGAAAATAAAAGGTTGGAGGAGATTGAAACAAAAACAATAGGAATAAAAAAAAATAGATCAACGAAAGTTCATTCTTCTTTTGCCTACTATCCTAGGACAGCTATGGAGCCAGACATAAAAAACAAGCTGGAGGCAGAATTAAAACCTATCTCTCTGTCACCCTTGCTAACAAAATCAGCCCATGGATGAAACACAATGAAAAACACCCTTATTGTAGCTCAAAAAAGAGAGAGATGTGGCTATATCTTTTAAGTTCAAGGAGTAAATTTCCAGAATGAAAAATACATCAGAGTTGTCTAGCGCTTGCCCAAGCTGATCTCAAACTCCTGAGCTCAAGTAATCCACCCACCTCAGCCTCCCAGAGTGCTAGGATTATAGGCATGAGTCACTGTGCCTGGCCTACCTGGTCCCTTTCTAGAAACATTTCATGTTCTATCTCCTCCATGAAAAACTCAGAACATCTTCTGGTCTAGACAGTCTTTTCTTTCCCTGAACCACTAGAGGATTTATTGACTCTATGATTCATTTATTAATTATTCATTCATTGCCTTCCAACATCTTTTTAAATCAATTTTATTATTTTTCTGATCATAAAATTAAATGTGTTCTTAATATAACTTATAGCAAGTTCTAAAGAATAAAATAAAAATCAGCCATAATATAACCACCAGGAAATAATCCCTACTAAGACTTAAACAAATTTCTTTTTCATTTTTATATTATGAATGCATAACTACTTTTTTTTTTTTGCTTCTAAAACTGAATACGCTCTGCTCATTGTCATGCTGTCTTACATGTCACTACTGCATCAACACTCCCTTATGTTTTAAATATTTTTGAAAAACAGGTTGATAGAAATTCTCCTTCCAGTATGAATCAGCAAGCTACTAAAAATTATTCTCTGACAAATTAAGAACTATAAATTAAAAGCACGTGCATTGCCGAGGAGAGGCAAAGTTTGAAGGAAGCAACTAGCACAGCATAAATTTCATGTTTTCAGACACAAGAAAGAGAATGATACAAGAAAGGCCCAAAAAGTTCTTCAGGTAGAAAAGAAATAATACCAGAGAAAACCTCCTTTCTTTTCTTTTTTTCCTTATTTATTATTATTATTATTTTTTATGTAGTCTCACTCTGCCATCCTGGGTAGAGTGCCGTGGCTTCATAGCTCACAGCAACCTCCAATTCTTGGGCTCAAACAATCTTTTTGCTTCAGCCTCCCCAGTAGCTGGGACTACAGGTGCCCACCACAACATCTGGCTATTTTTAGAGACAAGGTCTTGCTGTTGGTTAGCACTCCTGAGCTCAAGCAATCCACCAGCCTTAGCCTCCCAGAGTGCTAGGATTACAGGCATGAACGAACCACTGAGCCCCGCCTTAGATCTTTCAAAGTAAATGAAGAGAATAAAAAAAAAAATGTAAATAGTGGGGTCAAAATAAAAGACCATCTTCTATTTTAATTTCCTTAACGTGCACACAACTAAAAAAGAAATGAAGGGTAGGCAACTATTTTATTTTTTAATTTCTTTAAAGTTCACACAACTAAAAAAAAGAGAAAAAGAAAGTGCATACAACTATTTTATTCTATTTTTATTTTTATTTTTATGTAACTATACCAGCCCCACCCCCAGCGTTTTGAGATAAGTGTCTCACTCTATTGCCCTGGGTAAAGTGCAGTAGCATCACCATAGTTCACCACAACCTCAAACTCCTAGGCTTAGCTTCCCAACTAGTGGGGACTATAGGCACATGCCACAATGCCTAGCTAATTTTTCTATTTTTTGTACACAGTCTTGCTCAGGCAGGTTTTGAAATCTTGAGCTCAAGTAATCCTCCTGCCTTGACCTTCAGAGAGCTAGGATTATAAGCGTGAGCTGCTGGGCCCAGCCAGTCCCCATTTTGAATGTTTCTTATATATTTATTATTTTCAACAACCTTGCGATATGCACTCCTACTAAACTTACTTTTCGGTGAGAAACAGGCAGAGGTTAAATAACTCACTCACAATGATCATTACTGCCGATAAATGGCTAAGACAGGACCAAACCCAGCCTAGCTTCTGAGTGTACAAGTGATTCATGATAATGCCCCACTGAAATAATTTTCACAGTTTCCTATTCTAGACAGAATCTCTAACACTTCTGAAAGCTAATTGTGACCTATTTATCACTTTTCACAGTAACCAGCTTTATGAAATGGATGGTACATATCCATGCCCTATCTAAACATAGAAACAGTACCCCTGCCACAGAACCCAAGCTAGATAGCAATGTTCAAACTTAAAAACCATGCATTGGTTCTGCTGTAACTTCTTGCTTACATTACCTGTGTCCAGAATAATCACTACATCTGCCTATATTTAAAAATATTCCCTGAGCCTCAGTAAGTATGCAACTAGTGTTTCTGATTCTTTCCCCTTTAAGACACAGAAAGAAAATGGATTCTCATTTTTGTGCCCCAGGCACGAAACAGCTCTGGCCATGGACAGGCATCAGGCTAGGATGAACAAGGGGCTGTTAGTTTACTTTGCCCTGGTTGATCTAAGAGTAGCACCACTGATCAGGTGTCTCTTTGCCCATTCCCAGGGGTTCATAGAGGAGAGCTCATAGTGAGCTCCATCCGGGGTCTTGCTTTAGCTCAGGTTGGTCTTGAACCTGTGAGCTTGGGCAATCCACCCGCCTCAGCCTCCCAGAGTACTGGGATTACTAGCATGAGCCACAGGGCCGGGCTCGCACAACCTTGGCAAACAAACATTATAGCATTCATTTGGGGAGTCAAAATGCAACAAATTGTAACATTTGTAGCGAACAGTAACAAAAAAAGGCGGAAGGTCGGGTTGCAAGAGTGGTTGGTATGTGGTTGTAAGATTTCTGTATTGTGTGTAAGTAGTACAAGATTGATGCTTAGAAAACTAACACATTTAAGAAAGTTAACCGTAATCCCTATAGTAACCGCTAAAAACATACATATTAAAAGAGTGTCACTAAAAAGTTGATAGATACATTAAAAACTAAATTCTAAATACAGGCAGGCATCTATCAGTTAATAATGGGTATATACTTTGGGAAATGTGCCCTTATTTATTTATTTATTTGAGACAGAGTCTCACTATGTCACCCTCAGTAGAGTGCTATACCGTCACAGCTCACAGCAACTTCAAACTCTTGGGCTCAAGCAATTCTCTTGCCTCATCCTCCCTTGTAGCTAAGACTACAGGCATCCCCCACAATGCCCAGCTATATACATATATATATATATTTTGAGACAGGAGACTCAAGCTGTCCCCCTGGGTAGAGTGCTGTGGCATCACAGCTCACAGCAACCTCCAACTCCTGGGCTCAAGCGAGTCTCCTGCCTC